CATGTTCAACGGGTTGAAATTAAAGTTTTCGCTTAAGATAATTGATTAGGCATTCATTTAAACCAGAATTTGTAAGGTAAACTGTGTATGTTTTGCATTTTGGTCAATTAACTAAATCCAATTGCTTATTATGACTACGTAACTAGAAATAAATATTGGAAATGGTTGGCTTCCAATTCAATCGCCCATTTTGTGCAATCGTATCATCAATTCATTTAATTATGCAAACAGTACAACTTTCCTGTTCAACAAATTTCCACGCAGCATTTATCGTTTAATCAAATCTGATTGTAAAACTTTAGCGCAAAAAATGGCCCATAAAAAATTGGTCTCCTGCCCTCCTTTACAAAAACTTTTCTTCTGTCGCAAAAAAAGGCATTTTATTATTGGGAAGGCAAATAAAACTTTCTAAAGCTGAAAGCCCAAAAGAAGGAAAATCATTAGAAGACAAACGCAAACAAAACTCTAGAACGTGTTTGTGTGACACAATCGCTGTTCCAATAAGTTCAGTGGTAAATAAATTTCCCTGAAATTGTCGAAACATCTAACTGGGTTGAATATCATCATCAAAAGCAAGATATCAAACGATATAGTCGCGTTTCTCTAAGGGGTTTTGGTTTTGAGTTTCTATGAATCACAGCACAATCAGAGCATTGAAGAAATTATGCAAAGCAAAAATAGAAACATACAAGAAATTGCCACACATGAGTGGAGGGCCAAAAAGTAAAAGTAAAGCAAAAACAACAGTCTGAGAATATTGAAGAACTCTTAATGAGACCAAAGTTGCCGAAAGAAGCACTCGGGAGACCCCTTCACACTCAACCCTCTTTTGTGGCCGTGAACAAGGGAAATTGTTTGCTCTTGTTGGCATAATTAAAAATGGAAAGTGATTGTTTGGGGCTCTGTGGTGTTCGCATCCCAAGGTGTGTGTGTGTGCGTGGGTCGAGGGGAAAGCTCGTGACCAGGGCTCTTGTGGTAGCCATTATTGAGGGCCGCCCACTGGTCATTGCCGCAATTGAAGGCCGAAGCCAAGTAATAATTGATTTACCCGCAATGAAGATGTCACACAGAGATTGCCCAGTGGATTGGTTACTGAATAAGGGGGCAACGAGTCATTCGAGCTTGAAATTAAAGCATTTGTGCTGTATAGCATACTTATTATGTTTATACCAAAATCGATATTATCCATGTTAAGCAGGGCTAAGTAATTAGCTATCTAAATGGACAAAACATTTATATATTTTTTAAGCAGAACTGAAAACTGACAGACCTCATATTTGTACTGAAATCAAGGCCGCATTTTGCGGTTTACCCCAATTCGGATAATGGCATACCCATCTGCATATTCCTCAATTACCAAACATTTTCAAAGCAACGGAAACTTTACACACTCGAAACGTGTAATGAGTACAGTGCCGTTGCGAAGTAAAACGACGGACTCAAGTCGACAGCCAAACACTATCTTATCGCAGTACATAAAAAGCACACAAATGGCGGAACTAAATTGGAGCTCATGCCATTTTCAAATTGATTGCTGGCTGGGCGAGAGGGAAGTTCGAAGGGAGGACTGTATCTGACGGATACATGTGTGGTGTACAAAGAGGCCAATCAGTTTGGGGCAGTAAAAGTCACGCTACAGCTGGCTTATGACGAGTACCATGAAGGACCGACATTGAAAACAACAAGCTTTTGCTTTCGGAGATCAGAGTTGAGACGGCTGAAAGTTGAAAAACCTTGCACTCACACCAACTTTAATGTGGCAAAAAAAGAAAAAAATATAAAATAGGGGCTGATATCAAATAGAGTACTGAATACACATTTTAGAAGAAATCATTGAATTCTACGTGTTTACAATCTATGTATCATTGAAACTATAAACTTGCCAGCTAATTGCCGATATAATCACATAAATTTTAGTAAAACTAATGGCTCGATTTCTGCCAGACAGCGAAACACAATTTCTCCACAATAATTTGTTATTCTAAATGCACTAGCTATATTTACATTGCTAACAAATAAAGTGCAGCACTTTAAGCATTTGGCACACAATGAAACAAAATATTACATGAATCATGCTAAGTGCAGCCAATCACAATTTGTTTTTGTTACCTTTTTAGCTGATTTTTATTTGGCCATTTTGCCCCCGGCCATTTAAATTGTTTATCAGCTTGCAGCAACCTGCGATGCGGCACGCGTTGCCTTTATTTGCACCTTTGTTTTTCATTTAATGATGGTGCTGAAGTGTTCATTGCCAAATAGTTTACACGCCAACAGCCGGTTGACGGAAAAATGCGAAAATCTGGCAGGAAAAACGTTTTGAATTGCAAATGCCAAAGGCTTCGAATTGGAATTATGGCATCGAGAACAATTAAACATTATTGCCTCTCCTGAAGATTGCCGGTCAACTTACGAGTGTTTTAATACACGGAATTGCGAAAAAAGCCTGTTACTATAAAAAGTTTAATTTTGCAGTAAAACAGTCGAGTTAAATCGTTCTTGTTTTCTTTAAAAAATGTCGAGCAATACAAAATATTCTCAGAAATGTACACTATTTAAAGACCGGCAGAAGTATATTTTCGCCTAAACTTCATGAGCTTCAGTTTACTTTTTGGGTATGGCACACTTGTATACATATTGCACGCCATATGATAAATATTAATGTTATAAATATAATAATATAAATCTAAATAGAAACTGTATATTTTTAACGCTCGCTGTAATGAACTACTAAACGCCAAGAATTTTTCGCTAGCTATTATAAATTTTCCAGTTGTTCGTTTTAAAATGACATTCATATCATTCGTTGTTTATGATGGTAAATGATAACTTAACGTGTTCCTTTTGAATAGGTAATGTGTATATTCGTAAATGATATCAAAATCATTAAAAGGGCTACACAAGCCTAGCAAAACGGAAGTACATATCGATTTTTGTGTAAGACTTTAAGCCAGAAACCGATCGTGTGAGAATTAGAGGCTAAACAAAACTCATACGCTTAACAAACATCTATCAGTAATGAACACTGCTTATATTCAATTGAGGCTCCATTATAAGATTGATGCGAATGATTGCGCACGGGAGGCTATACAAATCGGAAAAGGAAAATGATAAGACGGAGATTGTGTGTTTGAGCGTACAGTTTCAATCGACTGTGTGCACCTGCACGGATTTTGCTTGATTTTCCGACTGCTGTCAAAGTCAAAGCAATTATAAGCCGAGCCATTTGAAGTCAAACTTTTGACAATTTCCGTTAATAAATTAAAAGTATCGTTGCCAAAGTGGGAATGTGAAGGAGGCAACGTGAGCCATTTGCAAATGAGAAGAATGTCACCTGGTGCTTTTCGGGCGAAAAGGATTATAGATGCCCGATGAGTCAGTTTAGTGGGCTTTACGCAACGACCTTATCGCACTTAACAACTTGTTTGATTAAAATCGCAGGGCCCCAAGCCGAAAAGAGAGTTATGGGAAAAGAGAGGCGCAAAAGAGAGTGACTCATTGAAGAAGTCGACAACGTGGCGCCGCTGAGCGACTGGAAAGCATTATCTTCTGGTCACATATATAGTATGGTATAGGATATCGATGACGCAAAGGAGTTCCCAAAACTAATTAGCAAAGGCAATGCTTATGAGGAATAAGAAGGCTTACGTAGCTGGAAAATATGACTTAAACTCATTACGTCATCGCCACAGCTGCAAAATACCTGAGATAGAGCGAGAGGAATTGAGAGGAGGTGTGCGGAGAAGGGGGCGTCTAGGGGGCTGATAAGAAAACCGTTCTTTTGTTGTTGCGGAAAATGCCCGCAAACTTAAATACAACAAAAACAACTGCTGAGAGAACAGAGAGAGAAGCGGCACGCGACCAGAGAGAAAGAGAGATAGATAGCGAGGGGAGCAAATGTCACGGAGAGAGAGAGTATAAAATCGATTTGTCACAAATAATTTGCGGCTTGTCCATCTTTTCGGGGATTTAAACATAAAATAATCACAGGTTAATGGTAAAAATGCGCAGTTTTATACTCACAATTCTTTGATCTGCATCTTTGCCAATTATTATCCGGTATTTTCCTGCTTGATTCGCTGCGAGAGAGTACAAAATACAGAATTAGATTTAATGCGAATTCGCTGGCGGATTTCAACTAAATTGCAGAATTTATTATTTCCAAATGTAAATGCACTTGCACTCGACGCTTAACCTTCGCACGCACTTTCTATATTTAATTTATATATCTGCCAAAAACACTGGTGTTTCTGATTCGCTGCCAAAAAAACTGCACCCGCACTCTTTGTTTATGTTTGGCTAAGCCAACTTGAGTTTAGTTATCCAATTCTGATTCTATCGCCTTTTTCTCCAATTGTCGGCTAAACACACGAGTCATATGCACACACACACACACACACACGCAAATCACAGCACATACTAGCGGGCGGAATATCAATATCAATTTATGCGATTTGCCGCAGATTTATTACTCAAGTGATGACGTACAACTGGGAAATGCGATTGGCCTGGTATCGGGATCTGTTCGCGCTTGCAAATCGGAGGCAGTAATGTATTAGTAACGAGTTTGTTATTTAGCTACTGCGTGTTGTAGCGGAGCTAAAGTTCGATGTTCATGCAAAACACTTCGATTCCGATAGGCGGACGGTATCGATTTTGCCGCGACTCCATGGTCACACTTGGGGGTGGGCGCAGCCCGTCGCCGACTATCGATAGCATATGCGATGTATCCAGGGCTGCTCACTAATCGTATCTTGTTAGGGGGACTCCCGTTGCTTAATATTATACATTTTATATAATATATATTTTAAAATCAAGAAATGAAAATAATACTTTTTAGCGCTTAACGTCTTCATTTGAAAACCGTAGCAAAGCCTGCCTTTTACTTCGCTAATTCCAGAAGCAACATTAAAAAGGCCATACAAAAAAATTTTGGTAATTTCATTCTTTATTTGAAATAAATACATTAATTTAAGGGACTGGAAATAAAAACTAAACACAGATCGGTATTTGCACATAAACAAATTTTGAGTTACGTTCGAATGATAAACGATCTAAGGGACAGCTTCGAATTCTAATTAGCTGGGTGGCTCTGTCATGTCCTCCTTCTGGCTATTCTCTCCCATTTGGTCGAGCAAGTCCTTCTCATTTTCTGGCGAAGGTGGCATTTCCAACCCGCCGAGCAGATCTTCCGGTCTTTCATTCGAATCGACGGGAAAGTCTTCTGTGACTGGGCGTTCTCGACGGGGCTTTTTAGTAGGGCGCGGCTGGTTGTCAGCGTCGTAGCGCATGTTCAGCGCGAACTTGATATGCCCCGTGCCCTGGTACTCATCGTCGATGGGAATGTTCCGTGCCCACACCTTGCAGAAGAAGTAGACCTCCGTATTCTTGGGCATCTTGTTCATCTGGATGGCCACCACGCGCGTCACGCCTGTCATCTTCTCGGAGGCCTCGAAATAGGGACCCGGGTAGAAAACCATATCGGGCTGGGGTCCCTGGGTCACCTCGCAGGTGAGCCAGATCTTCGGCGTGTTGCCCAGCTTGCCCACGGTGCCCTGGAGACTCGAAGGCGCCTCCTTGGGCAAGTCGTCTGGAGTGTCGTAGGTTTCCGGCTGGTAGCCAATGACGCTGTTAAGCTTGATGAAGACTGTCGGCTTTTGGGCCGCGTAGCCCCAGCACGTGTCCTGGTTGAAGTCGCTGAAGAAGTCGATGGCATTATCGTTTAATTTGTTTAGAAAATCGTCGATGCGGTCCGCGATCGGGTTGATCTCATTCACCAAGTGCGTAAAGTATTCCAGCGCGGAGCGATTTTGGTTGGGCACCATCGACAGACCCGGCGGACCCTTGAGCCAGCGCGGCCTTTTCGGATCGATGATGGCTAGCAATAAGATGGCCAACCAAAATGCCACTATACCCACGATTATGCAGTACAGGAACAGGTAGTAGAGCGTGATTCGCAGCCAAGCAAAGGCAGTGCGGTCGAACAGCTTATGCTCGTCTATGTCGAATACCCTCTTCGACCACGGAAGGTCCTTCTTGCGACGCTTCTCCTGCGTCCTGCGGTTCTGCTTCACCAGCTTGTAGTCCCCAGCGGGCACCATTACTTCCTCGGGCATCCTGGCAATCGTTCCGGCTCAGATTTGGGAACTGCTTAGGCATAAGTGGGAAATATTCGAAAAATCTAGGCACATCGATCTGTAGTTCCCGTTCACAATGAAATTTAAAGCGGAGCGGGTTGAAATCTTAACAATTTATGAAAATAACACATACTTCTCCAAATGGAATCTTTAATTACCATTTTGTTAGGTGATAACATTTAACATTAAATGAACCCATCACTTCCCCTCATTACGCCAGCAGATCTCACTCGTACCACTCGTCCAGTACCAGTGGAGTGGTTGGATGCACAGGTGCCGCCAGGCGGACCAGGAACTTGATCGTTACCATGTAGAGTGGGATGTTCTTAGCCCAGGCCTTGCAGTGGATTTTGATGTTCCGGTTGGGCGGAATGTTGCTAAGCTGAACACCGATGATGCGCCTATAGCGGGGATCCTCCTTGTAAGTACCGCCATCGTTATCCGAGGACTCGTTCAGAAAGACATTGCCAGAGGTGAAGAGTTCTACGGCATCGAAGAAGCGATCCGGAACGTAGTCAAACTGAATGTTCAGTCCCGGCTCCATAACCTGGCAAGACAACCAGATGCGGTTTAAGCGATCCTCCGTGCCCAAGCCCACCACATAGTCGAAAAGTTCATCCGGAGCGTAGTCGGGCAGCGTCAAGGCGTCATCGTAGGTGACCGCCTGGAAGCCCAGTGCCTGGGTGATCTTCAATAGAATGCAGGGTCTCGAGGTCATATAGCCCCAGCTGTCGTCCAGGTTACAGCCCATCATACGCTTCATTCCTATGAGACCGTATGGATCCATCACATGCGACATCTCGCGCCGAATGATACCCAGCTCCTTCTCGTTCCTCGGGCTCCACACAATTTGCTTCTCATCGCCCACAGGTTTTCCGGGCGCGGATGCTAACCCGGGGAACTTCTTGGATCCCGGCATATCCGGTAATATGTGATGCTCTATAAGTAGGAGGACCAATCCGGTCGCAAAGGCGCCCAAAACCACATAAAATATGGTGAGGTAGAGCAGCAGTTTGATCAGGCGACACGCGCTCATCTCGGGCTCCGGATTGCTGGTGCGGATGGAACGCCTGAAGAGGTACTCCGCCACCCGCCGATCCCGCCGGCGGCGAAGGCGTCCCACTTCGTAGGGGCCCGAATTGATTATCGCGTCGTTAGGCATGGCATCATAAATGTGTCCTAAATTAGAAATATGTGAGGGATTTCAAAAAGCTAGCTTCGCACTTACCAATGTTATTTTATTTTCAAGAAACAAAAGCCGTCTTTTTCTTTTACGAATTCCTAAGGAATATTTAAGGCCCCATAAGTTCGCAGTTTGGTACATGAAACGTATTTTAAACAAATCAAGAAGTAAAAACAAAGGTTTTATATTATTTGCAAGCTTTTACTTTTGTATACCAAGGCAGGCTGGTATTTATATATTAAAAATATATATTAAAAAAAAAACGCGCCATTCTGTCGATATCGATAGGCGGATTGCTGTAGCCCTAGTTTCCTTGCCTATCTTAGTATTTTCACGCAACTACAACACGGCCATACTAAACTTTAAAGCAAAATAAGTGAGCTAAAATGAGCGAAAATGTGATTGCTGCTCCGCTTAGCCGAATCCCGGGCACCAGCCAGGCGAAGGAGAAGCACAGCAAGGACCTGAAGACCCTCACATATCCGCAGCTGCTGGAGATGAAGGATAGGCAGTCGCACTTTCTGTCCTTCAAGTGAGTTTCGGCCTCAACCTGTGGAGCTTCTTCTGATATTTACCATCTCCCGCTCCAGAAAGCGTGTGCATCAACTGCCTGACAAGGGACAGCGTCTTCAGGAGTCGTACGAGAAATTACTGGCCGAGATCAGGAGGCGGGATGAAGTGGAGGAGGCAACTCGAATGCTGAGCGGGCTCAATATTGCCGAAAAGGGAAAATTAGCGCTCAACAACTTGGAGTGGAGTGGCAGAAACATGGACGAGGGCGCCCATGTGGACGACATTCTGGACAGCGATGATGAGGTGGAGATGGATCCCCTCAAGATTATAGCGCAGGGAACGATGCACGAGAAGAAGGTCACGGTGATTCCTCCGCCAACGAGTCTTATTACGGCAGATGATCTGGTGGATATTGAGGAGTTTAAGAAACCAACCGACTCCCCAGATTCGGCTTTGGCAGGACATAGTGACACCAGTTCCCTTCCTGCCGAGATCGTAGAAATAGACGCCAGTCAGGTGGCCGACAAGCTGCGCAAGGAGCTGCCTCCCGATCAGCATGCTCTCTACCTCATTGATAAGACCGAAACAAATGTGCATACTTCTAGAGAAAAGTTTATGCCATTCCGCACCACTAAGTCCAATGTCCACGATCCCGACAAAGAGCGGGTGCGCAAAAAAGGCAAGCACTGGGAGATAACGGCAGCAACTCCGCCACTCATCCAGCACAAAGAGGCCCAGTTGGTGCCGTTGGCCGAGTCGGCAGCGTTACAGATGGATTACATGCAACGAGTTAAGGTAATTTCAGTTCTTTGCTGTACAGAATGCGATGCTTAATCTACATCATTTATAGGAGGTCCGCATTCAGCAGGCTGAACAGCGGCTGGCCCGGCGTCAAGAATCCCGACTCGGACTTGGCCTGCCCGAGGAATCCATTCTGAAAACCAAGGAATCCTTCCGCAACTACCGTGATCCCCAAGCCACATTTCTCATCGAAGGTAGGCAAAAAGCCAGCGAAGCGAATGAAGTGCACGACCCCACGATTCAAGACCGAGGAGTAGCCGCTAGTGGCATTCAGTACACGGTGTTTGAGTAACCTGTGGACAGAGCATGAGATAGAATGTCATTTCTGCTGTTCGATATTCCAGAAACATTGTAAACTATTTATTCGCGTAGGCAACAATTACTAAATAAGACTGCATACATAACTATGTGTATACTCTGTGGACACCTAGATCGAATAGAACTGCGTGGCCGTGGAGGCTTGTAACTCGATTTGGCCCATCTTGAACTGCAAGCGCTGCAGCCATTTGAGCAGAGCTTCCGACTTGTACGTTTGCTGCTCCTCGTAGTCCGGTGCATAGTCCCTTACGTTCTGCAATCGGACGTGCAACGTGTCCGAGAGCTGAGTCTGTGAGGAGAGAACGGGGCTCCACATTGGCAGCAGTTTGCCCAGCACTGTGGAATTGGTGTCCTTCAACGCCTCCAACAGACTAAGGAAGTGCAGGTTGACCATCTCGGACAGCTTGGAGTTAGCGCTCTGCGTCTGGAAGTCCAGCGGGGTCTGCGGCTGATCCTTATTGACTGTCGGCTTGGCGTGGGACACCAATTGCAGGATGCAGGGCGTTACCTTCGCCCAGAACTCAAAAAGAACGCCCAGCGTGCTGCCCTCCGCATTACTGTTGGTGTTGTGGGCCATCTGCTCCAAGTATACCGTCCACAGTTGACAAAGAGTGAACGCATGGAATAGCGAGGACATGTGCAGCACGGAGGTCTTGGACTGCTCCGCAAATCCGGCAAAGATCACCTGAATGTGATCGGCAATGTGGCAGGAGGCTTCCTGAGGCACCGGTTGCGAATAGGTAACTCCTTGATGCTGATAATGTACACTGGCTGCAGGACCGGTTCCCTGACTATTCTGCTGCGGCATGGGCGTAGGAATGCTATGCGTCTCCTGACGCCGCTGCATCAGAGCCATGTGAGTGAGGGAGCCAAGTAGCAACCAAGACAGCAGGCGCATGTGACCCACGCACTCGGTGAACTCCTTGGGTCTACGTAAACGATTGTTCGCATCATTTAAAGGAGATGGTAATCCTGATCTGGAACTTACCCTTGCTGAAGGGACGATGGAGCATTGTTTAACCAGGGAAGGTAGCGAGACACTGCTTTGTTGTCCCTCGAATTACCACGCGACATTTCCAGAGCCAAATATTGGGCCACTGCTCCCTTGAGGACTCCACCCAAAGTGTCTTCACCCAGTCCACTGCTCGTCTGGCCGTTCTTGAAGTTCTGGGACAACATATTTTAGTAATCAATAATTCAATAAATACGAGTATGTTTCCATCCTACCTTAATCTTGCTGAGCGTGTGAAAATCGGCCAGGAAATCAATAACATCGTTGATATACTGCCTCAAGCAATCCGCAGAATTGGTGGTCATCATGGGAGCCGCGTCAGGCAAACCAGGAGCAGCACCTGGAGGCAGAGTTCCGCCAGCATCAAGGAGCACAAAACCAATAATGGTGAGTAGATTATGGTCCGGAATATTGGACTTGAACTTCAGAGCCTGGACGAACTCAAAGATCATTTGACGACACAGCAAGTTCTTATCCCGATCCTTGCTGAAAGATCTAATGTTCAGAGTACACAGCTCGTATAGCGTTTGGTATTCCAGGTTTGTATGCTGGACACAATAGGCCATGATCTTGGAGTACGGATCAAGCAGCGTTTTCGGAACACAGTTGAGCCGCAAGGTCGCCGCCATGATGTCCAGCATGTACTCCGCATTGGTTAGACTGGGCATGATGACGATTACTTGGCGAAGGAGCGACTCCATGGCCTGCATGGCTTGTGACCAAACGGCTAAGCCCACGCCCGCTTCCGTGGGGACGCACTGGAGATTCAAATACTCAGCCATGTTGCGGAAAATCACCGGTAGCTGGTCAATGGGTAATGCCTTCTTGGACGTCAGCGACTCGCACACCATGTAGATGGGACTGGTGGAGTTCAAGTCCTGGAAATCCTGCAGCGCTTTGGCAATGCTGCGAAAATGGTGGTGACGGACTTTCACTTGATGGAGAAATTGGCGTTTGGTTATTATAAATAACTTTATGTTAGACCAATACTAACTTTTCATTTGAGTTTGGAACACTTGCAAGAAGATTCCATTTGGTGCCAACTGGTGAAGCACGCAGCGGAAGAACTGACAGGCAACCGCCTGGGCACTGCTGGCCAAAGGTGGACCATTCTCGCCTTGCCAGGCATGGGTGCTACTTAAGCAGATCCTAAAATAAAGGCAGATAATGGTAGTCTGAAGATGCAGTTTTGAAGTGATGCAAGTGATGCAGTTACCGTGAAGTCATGGTAAGAATTTCGGGCAGGAACGGTGCTGCCATGGCGGGTTCTCGATGAATAAAGGTCCCTAGGATTACAATGAAGATGCCAATCTCCTCATCCGTGTACTCCTCAATGTGGGCACCGCAGTCGGAGCAGCGTTCCACGATGGTGTAATCTCCAACACGACGAGAGCTCTGCGGAGTCAAAGATTAGAATGTATACCCAGATATGTACACAGATTTAAATGACTCACACCACGAGGAGCATGAGGGGTTGAGTGGATTCCATGCCCATTGGAGGCCTCCGCACCGATGTCATCATCATCATCGGGCTCGGGATCCACCGGCTGAAATGGAGGCGGTGGCCAGGAACCAGCAAACCGAGATCGAATATCCGGAATAGCATTGCTGTCCACATTGAAGGGAGCCAGTTTTTGACGAGGACGCTTGATACTATTGCTGGTGGTGAGCCCGTTACCTTCGGGAGCATTTTGTTTCAGGTCCTGCTGCACATTCTTGAGAATGGAGGTGTGCAAGTCGGCAGAGGGCTGCGATGGAAGCTGGGCATTTGGATTCGGAGGAGATTCCAGGGCCACCTGCTTTATAAGCCGTCGGGGAGAGTTCGTCCTACTGCTAGGAGTTACATCATCCTTGGTGCTCTCCGACACATCAAGGCTGTCCTGCTTGAGATGACTGATGTCCGGCAGGTTCAGGCCATCTCTCACCCGCTCCACTAGGGTGGCCACCGTGTCCTGCGTTCCGATGGGCAGGAGACGCTCCGGAGTGGGAATCTCCAAGGCAGCAATGCTCTTGGGTGGCGGCAAGCTCTGCATGCTCTCATCCATTTCTTCCCTCGGATTGGGCATCACGCTCATCTTGGACAGTGGTGAGTCCGGCGAGCCGTAGTTCTTATCCGTGCGTCTCAGGGATTTGGTTTGCGACTTCTTTTGCCGCGAATCATCCGCCGAGGAGCTCGAGTTTCCGGCACTGCACTCCACAATCGTCTTATGTCGTCCAATGGGCTTGCTAGTAGCCGTCGAAGAAGATGCCTGCATAGCAGCTGGAGCACTTCCCCCACCGCCATTTCCGTTTCCGTTGGCCGATCGACTCCCACTACCGCTGCTGGATCCTGCTTTCCTATCCACTGCCGGAGTCATGTCCTGCAAAGCGCCCAGTGCCTTTAGGTGATTCGTAGCTATGGCGGCGAACATCTTCGAGGTGGAGGCGGCCGCATTCTCCAGGGACTTGTTGCGCACGGTCACAGCGCGATGAACATCTACTGGTGGACTAACAATCGCCGTCTCCGTGGTTTCCGCGCCCACCAAGGGGGTGACGATCATGCGAACACCCTCCTGCAAACTGTGCCTGGTGTGTGTGGTCACCAAAGTCTCACTGGTAGTGGTGGCCTTGATTTTGGTGGTGTACGTATCGCCGACCTTGGTGGTGATCATGGACTT